CAACAACGGGAGTTGATTTACTTTTTTTCATAAGATTGCCAAATGTAGATTTCAAAAATGATTTTTCTTTAGACGAAGAGGATGTTTGTGTCAGGGGAAGTGGTGTGTTACCATATTGTGCATGAAACTCATAATATAATTGATGAAATAAGTTACTAACCTCGTTTATCCATCTATAGAATCTATGAGCTTATCTTCGTACATAAGTAATGGACCAAAAATGAAGCATAATAGTACTCTAAACATTGTTGAAAAGCATCTATTCTATTTCTATTTATATATAAGAAAAGAGATAGCCCCTTAAAAGACTCTTCTACCCTAAAAAATCCTACGTGTTTCTCTAACCGAGTTTTTCTTCTTTCACGTTCTGCTGCCACGTGGCTCCCTCATATATGTTTAAGCGTTCTTTTGCTAGCGAACTTACTCCAGAAATTCCATGCCTATGCTTTCCCTTTTCTCCGCACTCTCACCAAACTTCCGGCCTAAATTTTCTCACATCTCCCGCAGCTTCAGAGCTTCTGATACAGTTGTATTCGGTTGAGGAGTTAGTTAGCCAATATTATACATCTGTTTAGTTAGTTGAACAAGTTGTTAATTAGCTACAGCATATATAGCCATTGAATGGAGATTGTAAAGACAGGCATTTTTCTCGAATAAACAATACTTCCGCATCCCTTTCATCTCTATCCTCTAAATTCTCAGTTCTTGTGTGAGTTCAATTCTCGAATTCTCTTCTCCATTTCTATGGGAATTCCTGGATTGTAACATTGGTATCAGAGCAGTGATCCTAAATTGGTGCGCTGATTAACTCCAAAGAAGATCGGAATTGAGTTCGAACGAAGGAAAGAACAGTACGATCGAAGGGTTGAAGCATGGTTCAGACTCGTACTTCAATTACAGACATGGAGGAAGCTTTGAAGTCGTTACAGGAGGATTTTGATCACAAGTTGGAGGCTCAAAACAAATCGATGATGGACATGGTTTCTAAAGTGATGAAAAAGGTGATAGAACTACAAACGAAGAAAGGAAAGAAAGTAGTAGGAGAAGGAGGATATAATTCCAGTACCGAGGAAGAATCATCATCAGATGAAGAAGACGATGGAGGAGATATTGCTGGTAAACCTTCTTCTGGTCAACACATGTTCCGGTTTGCACCTAGGGTAGAATTCCCTACCTTTGAGGGTCAGAATGCTAAGATTTGGGTGCAAAAATGTGAAAGGTATTTCAAACTCTGTACAATACCTGATAAACAAAAAGTTAATTTGGCTTCATTATACCTTGAGGGTAGGGCTGCTAGTTGGTTTGGAAATTATATTCTGTCCAAAAAGAAGCTGTCATGGAATAGATTTGTTGGTGACCTATATGCTAGATTTAATGATAATGGTGGTAGCAAAGTGGTAGAGAGGTTCAATAATTTGAAACAGACAGGATCATTGGAAGAATTTGTAGACGAATTTGAGAAGCTAAAAGGTTTGATGATTCAAAGAAATCCAAAACTGCCTGATGATTACTTTTTGGACTGTTTTTTAGCTGCTTTGAAGCCTACACTTAAATCTTTTGTTAAAGCGTTCAAACCTTGTAGTATGGCTGAAGCAATAGGGTTTGCAAGACTACAAGAGGATACAGTGGAAGCTTTGAATAATCAGGCTAAATCTGCTAGTCTGTATAAAACACCTGCAGTTAAACCATTGCTACCCTATCCCAACATACAACAGAAGAATGTGTCTGTGGCTTCCAATTTGAACAACTATAATAACACAAAATGGCCTGCAAACACAGCCCCAAGAAGATTTGTAACAGCTAATGAAAGAGCAGAGAAAAGAGCTAAAGGGTTATGCTACTACTGTGATCAGCCCTTCAGCAGGGAGCATAAGTGCAGCCATAAGGGTACTCAGTTATTCTTGGTGGAAGTTCCTGGGTGTGAGGAAGATAGTGAGGCAGAAGGGATAATTAATCCAGATGAAAAAGGGGAGCAAGATTCTAGTATGATAAATAACAAGCCAATTATGGAGCCTCTGATTTCTTTTCATGCTATCAATGGGTATACAGACTTCAAAACTATGAGAGTTACTGGATATGTGGGTAGAAAACCAATACTGATTTTGATTGACTCAGGAAGCACTCATAACTTTTTGAGTACTATGATAGCAAAGAAATTGGGTTGTATAATGGAACCCATTACGCCAATACAAATAGCAGTTGCTGATGGACCACAAGTGAAATGCCAATACAAGTGCAATAATTTGAACTGGAAGATGCAGAATACTCAGTTCTCATCAGATGTTTTGCTACTCCCACTACAAGCTTATGATATGGTGCTCGGAGTTCAGTGGTTGTGTACACTTGGAGATATTACTTGGAACTTTCAGGAGCTTCATATGAAATTTCAGTATAAGAAACAGTTGGTGGTACTAAGGGGTCAAAAACCAGGAAAATTGAAAGCCATAAATGGAACCACAAAACAGTTGCAGCAGACAACTCAACTCTATCTCATACAATGTCAACCTGAGGCAGCAAGTGACATTAAATTGCCAAAAGAGGATGAGCATGTCAGAATAAAGGTAGAAGAAAGAACAAATTCTGAAGATCTGGATGTTATTATTAAGGAGTATGGTGAGATTTTCAAAGAACCTAAGGGTTTGCCACCAAGTAGGGGTGTATTTGACCATAGAATTCCTATTAAAGAAGGGTCACAACCTGTGAACATCAGACCTTACAGGTATCCTTTGAAGCAGAAAGATATAATTGAGAAAAAAGTTAAAGAACTATTGGATGAGGATACTATTCAGCCTAGTTCTTCACCTTATGCTTCACCAGTTGTACTAGTAGCAAAAAAGGATGGGGACTGGAGATTATGCACAGATTATAGAGCTTTGAATAAGCAAACCATCAAAGATAAATTCCCAATTCCTGTAATAGATGAGTTGATTGATGAATTGGCTGGGGCAAAGATATTTTCTAAATTGGATCTAAGGGCTGGTTACCATCAATTGAGAATGTGTCCAGAAGATGTGCATAAAACAGCCTTTAAGACTCATTATGGCCATTTTGAGTTTCTAGTTATGCCTTTTGGGTTAACTAATGCACCGGCCACATTTCAAAGTTTCATGAACCATATATTCAAGGATTTTTTGAGAAAATTTGTTCTCATATTCTTCGATGATATTTTGGTTTACAGCCCCAACCTGGAGAGTCATAAATTACATTTGCAGCAGGTGTTTGAAGTTCTGAAGCAACATCAATTATATATTAAGAAAAGCAAATGTGATTTTGGTATGAAGAAGGTGGAATACTTGGGCCATTACATATCAGAAAGAGGGCTGGAGACAGATGGAAGAAAGATTGATGCTATAATTAAGTGGCCAACTCCTGCTTCCTTGAAGCAACTCAGAAGTTTTCTGGGTTTAACAGGTTATTATAGGAAATTTATCAGGAGTTATGCAGTAATAGCCAGACCACTTACAGACTTACTGAAGAAGGGAGCCTTTCAATGGTCTGAAGCAGCTAATATAGCATTCGGAGATCTGAAGCAAGCGTTGTGTAATGCTCCAGTGTTAGCATTGCCTGATTTTGATAAACAGTTTATAATTGAAACAGATGCATCTAATATGGGCATAGGGGCTGTCTTGATGCAGGAAGGACATCCATTGGCTTTCATAAGCAGATCATTGGGGGTGAAATGGCAGAATCTCTCAGTATATGAGAAGGAGTTATTAGCATTGGTCTTTGCTGTGCAGAAATGGGAGCAGTATCTCTTTGGCCAGACTTTTATCATTAAAACTGACCAAAAGAGTTTGAAATGGTTATTGGAGCAGAAGATATCAACCCCTTTTCAGCAGTTTTGGTTGTCCAAATTAATGGGTTTCAGGTATGAAATCCAATATAAAAGTGGGGCTGAGAATAAAGTAGCTGATGCATTATCAAGGGTGACAGGGGCAGAATTATTAAACCTAGCTATTTCTTCAATACAAACAGATATGTTGGAGATGATCAAACAAAGTTATATAGGAGATGATCACTTGCAAAAGATTATTAACCAAGTGCAGAATAACACAGGTGAGGGAGATACAAGTTACACTTGGAATGCAGGAATTTTGAGGAAGAAAGGCAAGATAGTAATAGGAGAAGATCCTATTATTAGAAACAAATTACTACATTGGGCACACAGTTCTGCAATTGGGGGACACTCCGGAAGAGATGCTTCAATTCAGAGAATTAGGCACATGTTTCATTGGAAAGGTCTTAATAAGGAGTTACAAGCTTTTATTAGAGCTTGTCATATTTGCCAGGCTTGCAAGTATGATAATTCAGCATACCCAGGCAAATTACAACCTTTACCTATTCCTAAAGAAGTCTGGATGGATGTATCCATGGACTTTATTGAAGGACTACCTACATCTTGTGGAAGGGATGTCATATTTGTGGTAGTAGATAGGTTGAGCAAATATGCACATTTCATGACTCTTAAACATCCTTTTACAGCAATTGAAGTAGCCCAAAGCTACTTAGATCATGTTTTTAAACTCCATGGTTGGCCAAGCACCATTGTAAGTGATAGGGGTTCAGTCTTTCTAAGTAATTTCTGGAAGGCTTTATTCAGTGTGCAAGGAGTGGACCTGCTTCTATCTACTTCTTTTCATCCTCAGACAGATGGTCAAACAGAAGTAGTAAATAGATGTTTGGAAAATTATTTGAGGTGCATGTGCTCTGAAAAACCTCAGGATTGGTGTAAATGGCTGCCACTAGCAGAATATTGGTACAATACAACTTTTCATTCTGCCACACGCATGACCCCTTATGAGGCAGTATATAATCAGCCTCCTCCCCTACATCTACCATATTTAGCTGGAGAAACTGAAGTTGCAGCAGTAGACAGATCAATGCAGCAAAGGGAGAACATGATTCAGCTACTCAAGTTACAATTGCAAAGAGCACAAAACAGGATGAAAGTGCAGGCTGATAAGAAGAGGTCCGAAAGGAGCTTTAATGTGGGAGATTGGGTATGGCTTAAGTTGCAGTCCTACAGGCAGAACACAGTACAATACAGAGGAAATGATAAACTAGCCCCTAAGTTCTATGGTCCCTTTCAAATAAGCCAAGCTGTAGGAAAAGTAGCTTATCAGTTGCATTTACCACCTGAAGCCAAGATTCACAATACTTTTCATGTATCTCAGTTGAAGGAGTTCAGAGGCATACTTCCAGCTAAGCCTCATATTCCTATTTGGTTGCATAATATGGACAAGGGGAGCAGATTGGAACCGGTAGCTGTGTTGGCCAGACAGATGGTGAAAGTTCAGAATCAAGCTAAAGTCAAGTTTCTCATTCAATGGCAAGGGCAAGATATGGCAGATGCTACTTGGGAATGGGCAGACATTATCAAGACAAAGTTTCCAAGTTTTTATAATCAAATGACTTGAGGGCAAGTCATTAGTGAAGGGGGGAGTATTGATACAGTTGTATTCGGTTGAGGAGTTAGTTAGCCAATATTATACATCTGTTTAGTTAGTTGAACAAGTTGTTAATTAGCTACAGCATATATAGCCATTGAATGGAGATTGTAAAGACAGGCATTTTTCTCGAATAAACAATACTTCCGCATCCCTTTCATCTCTATCCTCTAAATTCTCAGTTCTTGTGTGAGTTCAATTCTCGAATTCTCTTCTCCATTTCTATGGGAATTCCTGGATTGTAACAGCTTCATATGCCAGATTACCGCACATCTCTTCACCTAATCGATATTAGGGTTCAGAGCTTCATATGCGAGGTACGTGCTTTGTAATTCTTCGTTTTTCTATATTTCGAACGCAGTTCACGCCCCTAGCTATTTGCTTGCGAAATTCAACAAATTTAAAGCTATTTAGAATTCTTCATCTGTCTTCAAACGAGCACATCTCACACCAGTTTTACCATGTACAAAAGCAACAGGTCTACTATCTACTTGCTCTCAATTTATGAGATTACCGACCTTTGTGCTATTGCTGCTCTATGTACTCTGCCTCTTCTCTTATTCCATGATCTTTTATTGTTGATGAATTTATTTCTCAAATATTTAGTGAGTTTTAGGTACACCAAAGCATATAAGTTGTTCGATGAAATGTATATATGAGGAAAAAATACTACGTAGTTTTTATAGTTCAATTTATTTTTTTGGTTTCATTACTTACAAAGATTTTGTGAATCAGAAATATGTGTGTGTGTGTGTGTGTCCCCATGGATTGAATATACGTTTTCTTGGGTTTTTTGGATTTCACAACAGAAATTTCCACTTTTATGGTTTTTATGTTGTATTTTTCTTTTCGATTGCAATTCCAGTACACTTTTCCCTTGCTTGTGTTTACATTATTTGATCTTTGTGGAACTGCAGGTAAATAATAATAAAAATATGGCCAAAGGCTTTCTATTTTCCTAATATTCATGTAACCAACCTATCTAATAGACCTTTCCATGTCTTATGGCACAAATCTCCTTGGTACCATAGATTTATAGCAGTCCCCAAAATTGATCAAATCCCTTGGAAATGCAAATCATGTTCTTTGAAGTCGTTTTTAGGTAAATTCCCAATTAGTGTATTCATATTTGGTTTACTTTCACTTGGGTGTCAAATTTCAATTGGGACCCCCAGTTTGTCAATCTCAATCTTATCTTATTATACCTAATATACTTTTATTTCCATTTCCATTTACTGTAGGATTTCATAGAAATGTTGGCTGAACAACATCTACCTCACTCAGAAATTTATTCTTTTTACTTTTTGGAAGCATTCTCTGATAAAATTTACGATAGTGAATTTATTTTTTCTTAATATGGTTGCTATAATCTCCTTATGACTAATGCTCCTATTTATGCTTAATGTATTCAGGTATCCATATAAAAATCAAGTTCTCTCATGCAATATATGTTGAGTTTGTGTATTGGGATCTAAAATATATTTCAATGGAAGTTTCTCAAAGTCAAAAGTTTACTTCTCTATTTAGTTTGTTAGTTCAAAAGTTTACTTCTCTATTCAGTTTGTTAGTATCGTCTCAGGCTCTCTTTCTAACTCTTTTTTATACACTAAATTCATCTTAAAATAGAACTAGCCATTCTTGATTATCATTAGTAGTACTACAATACATCTATTCTATTTTAAAAAGTAATAGTCTATTTAAACTACAATAATGACCTCCATTCCTATGTGGCTATTGAGAACATTCATTATATATGTTTTAGATTATTCATACAAATTCAGTGTGTTGAGATAGGGCTCATAAACCCAAATTATTTTTGGATATATGATGATCCAGGAAATTCTTAGATGATTATTTCATACATGTTCCAATTATTTGTTTCATCAAATATCATAAGTTACAAATGATTTCTACAAATTCAGTGTGCTGAGATAGGGCTCATATACCCAAATTATTTTTTGCATATATGATGTTCCAGGAAATGCTTAGTTGATCATTTCATACATGCTCCAATTATTTGTTTTATCAAATATTATAAGTTACGGTTGGTCTTCACTAGCTATGCCATTCTCCAGTTTTCACTTTTTCCCATATGTCAATCTTTTGCTATGTTATTATCTTGATCTAAACCAACCCAAGAATACTACACAACCTAAAGCATTTGTTATAATCGTAATCCCAACCACATATAAAATATGGAATTTAAATTCCCGGTGCATGTTTAGAGCTAAGTTTTCACTGCATCTCCATATAATTTTATACAAGTTACTCATATTTCGTTTTTCTTACTGTATTTTTTCCGATTTCAGGAAGATGATGGTTTTAAAGACACCCTTATTGCAGGTCTCTAACTTCTTGAATTTTAATGTGTAAGTTTTTGGCTCCTTTGTAGTACAAGATATTCAGGGCAGAATTTATAATTTTAACCGCATCCATCTCTTCACCCAGCTCGGCATTAGGGCTTTATGCTCTCACTACACGAGTAGTAGGGGTACTCTCTGTCTCTTTGCTTTTGTTCTTAATTTATACTACGTACGCACTTCCAGTTATTTCTTAATTCATTGTTCTCGGTTCTGTGTAAGTCCAGTCTGTTTCAACTTTGTGGAAGTGCATGTAAAAACACATGGCCAAGAGTTTCCAAATCCTCAACAACCATTCTCATTGTGAATTTGATTTTATAGTACTACTACAATCCTCGAATAAAGGCCTGCTCAGAAACAATGTACTTATAAATACTAAATAAGAATTAATGACCAAGAAGTAGTATATGTATATATATATAGGACCCCCAATTCAAAGCAGAGTTACTTTAGGCATATAGGGAGTGATAGCTCTCTGTACATATCATCCCACTCATTTCTTTTATTTCTATTTTTATTTTTTTCCTTTGCGATCCTTTTTCATCCATTTTCTTAAAAAAAACTCCTAACAGTTGCTTTATATGCACTCTTTCGTCAAAGCGCTCTTGCTATCTACAGTGTTTGCATATTCTCACAAATATTGAGATGCGATTTTCTGGAATATGAAAGTTAAGTGATACTGATAGGCAATATTTGTATGGATTTTTTTTGAAAGGATATTTGTATGGATAGAAATGGCAATAACTTTTATTATTTATTTAACAAAAATGAAGAGAGTCATTGTTATACATGAAATTTGGGGTGAAAGTGAGTTGTTAATACTATCCCGGTTGTGTTTTTGAATTGTCATGCAAGAAGAGCAAGAGTGAGCAAGACAGGATGGAGTTATGCCAGTTGCTGTTAATACTATATTATTCACCCAGGAGAGCAAGACAGGGCTATCGAACTACGATTTCTGTAGAATTTAATAGTCATCATACACTTTTCTTCGTTTCTTTTATTTTACCAGCATTTCACCTGAAGCAACTTTGAACACAGGAGTCCAAATGTTTCAGTGGCTGTACAAATTGCAAGATTCATTGCAAGGCAGGATGGAGTTATGCCAGTTGCTGTTAATGCAATGTAAAATCTACTGTGGAGACCGAATGCAGGGGTCCAGGTGCTCTTCCTCCGGACTGAAACAGGCGTTCTATATATCAGGCGTTCTAGAGAAATTGATATGGATTTCACAAGTGTTAGTTTCTCTCATATAAGGCGTTCTATGAAAAAAGGCTGAGGGTCGCAGAACCTTGAACAGCGTTTTTGGTCATTTTATTCTCCTAGCTGAATTACTTGTGTTCGTAGCAATCACGTGAAAAAATTGGTCTATACATGTGAACAGCCGCTTTTACTGACGTTCTTCGCAATCACTTAGAAAGAATTGGTCTATATATGTGGCACATTATCAAGAGTTTGAGAATAAACATGAACTGAAGAACTTCATACATCATGAGAAGGAAAACTCATTATACACTATTAAGAAGGTTGTATTTAAAGAGGTTTTCCAAAACATCTAACAGAAGTACTACCTCCGTCCCTTAAAACTTTGCCAAAGTTGACTGGCACGGAGAATAATAAAGTAAAATTTGTGTGGTTGAGATTTGTGCAGAGGAGAGAGAAATAACAGAAACCACAAAATATTGATAAAAAGGGAAAGTGACAAAATTTTTTGGGACGTCCCAAAAGGGAAAGATGGCAAAGTTTTAAGGGACGGAGGGAGTAATGTTTTATTATAAGTTACCGATAATATTAATTAGTTAGTAGCAAATTATAATAGATGTGAAATAATTTACCTAATACTCTTTTACTTTAAGCATTTATTGTACTTATATTTAATGGTACTCACTTTATATAATACTTTAAAAATAATGTTAAAATTTAAAATGTTACGAATTATTTTATTTTTGTATTTAATTAGATTATTAATACAAATGTATGCACACCTGCACTTTCTCGTGCGTATGCACCGGTTGAGTCAGAACAACACCAAAAGTTAAAAAAGGTCATGTTTTATTAAAAAAATCAACATGTTGAAATAATCTGTTTATAGAAAGTAATGATTCGAAAAACATAAATATAATTGAATTCTGTTAATATTTGTATATAAGCATAATTAAATATAATTGAATTCAGTATATTCAAATGAGACATACTACAAAACAAGAGAGTTTCTGATGATTGAAAAGGGAGTCTATATTTGGTCGTTACATCTAAGGAATTAACATTTTCAAGAAAACAATAGGCTAATACAAATACAATATCACTCTTTTTAATTCTATCTAATATCTCATATGAGTGTGAAATTTGACATATAAATGTACAATTTCTTAATAGAAAATAAAATGTTGAAATAAAGACAAATTTGCCAAAAGAGTCTCAAAACTGATTTTTCTGTATAACTGCATCACCGGCCTACTCATGTCTCAATGTTAGTACTTGGTAGAACGGATGTACATAGTATAATATAAGTATGCTAACAATTGAGTGGGATAATTTTTCCCGAGCGAGTCCCTTAGATGTAGTGCTTTTAGGTATTAAAATATCTGATTGTTAACAAATGAGTGAAAAAGTTTTCTCTCTCATATATAGTTTTTTAAGTACACGATAAGATAAGCCGACTAACAAGTGACTGAGAGAATTTTCTCTCATATATCATGCTTTTCGGCATAACATAAGCCAACTAATAATTGAATGAGATAATTTTCACTCTCATATGTAGTGCTTTGAGGTGTAAGAATACAAATATAAGTAGTCTAACAATTTAGTGAGAGATTTCTCTCTCATAAACAATGCTTTTAGGTATAAGATAACATAATCCGGCTAACAATTAAGTATGATAATTTTCTCTCTCATATGTAGTGTTTTTAGGTATAAGATACGTCGGCTAACAATTGAGCAATAAAATGTTCATCTCATATAGTGCTTTTAAGTATATAAGATAAGATATACTGGCTAACAATTGAGCATTAGAAATTTCTTTCATATGTAGTGCTTTTAAGTATAAATTTTTACGTTTAAGAAAACAATGTTATAATGTGACTAACAATTGAACTAGAGAATTTTTCTTTCAGATGTAGTTCTTTTAAATATTCTCTCTGTTTCGCTAAGATTGTCTCATCTTTCATTTTCGACCCGTCCAACTTAAATTGTCTCATACCAAATTTGCCAAGTTTGTGTGGTTCTAAAACATTCTTATTTTATTCTTACTTTATCAATTCAATATCAACCACAAAAACTCGCTTTTTTTTAATATCTGCGCACCTCCTCATGCGCCAAAGTTAATGGGATGGAGATAGTATAAGATAAGCCATTTCACAATTGACTGTGGAATTTTATCTCCCTCATTTAGTGTTTTTATGTATAAAAAGACAAGTCGACTATCAATTAAACGTGATGATTTTCTCTCTCATATGTAGTGTGTTTAGATATAATGAGTGTGCAAATTTTCTCTCTTTCCTACTTTTTTACATTCTCTTTTACTTTTTCTATACTATTCATTACTCATATTGTTTCCTCCTTAAATATTGCACCAAGACCCAATGTTGTTATCTTTTGAATACGGAGGGAGTAGAATTTTCTCTCATATATAGTGTTTTTAGGTATAAGATCATTCAACAAACAATTGAGCCGGGAAATTTTTCTCATATAGTTCTTTTAAGTATAACATAAGCCGACTAACAATTGAGCGGAATAATTTTCACTAACACATATTAGCACTAAATTAACCAATGAGGCAAGTACTTATTTAACCAATATGCATTAATTTTAATATTTATTGTATTCACATAAATTTTATGTCACTCACTTATTGTACTCACATTCTTAAAATAATATTTAATTTTAAAATTAATTTAATGATGAAAATCAATAAGCATCAAATTCTAATTAATGGTGTCAATTAATTTACCAAATATAAATCTTCATTGAATATTTATTGTATGTGCCTATATTTTATGCTATTAGCTTATTGTACTCTTATTTTTTGAAAATAAAGAATCCTAAAAGTTTATTTTAATATTTATATAGATTATTACTAAAAATATATGCACCAACTGCTTTTTCCCGTGCGTATGCACGGGTACTATACTAGTTAAGTTTGAAATGAGAATCAAGACTAAATGCAATACCATATATGTGCGGAATATGTGAATAATATTGTTTATAAAAAAATCTTTCATGAATGAACAAAAATAATGAACGTAAGGGGTATCGGCAAATTCATAAAAAGCACCGGCGAGATTAACAGGTTCAACAGAATATTGATTTGCGGTAGATTTATAAACATGACTAAAAGTTTGAGTTGCATTATTAAATAATGCAACTCAAATAGGATTTAACTAATTTAACTCTATGTATTTAAATAGGATTCCTACTTTTTTTAAACCTAAATAGGACTAATTTTAGCCGGCCTACCATCTTTACCCCTGCTATTTTAATTTGTTCCTACTTCCTAGCGTCCGGCCAATTCAGGATCTCAAGTCAAATTTTAGCTCTTTCCTTCCAACAAGACAGAAGCTCGGTAAAGGACTTATACGGCGGCAGCGAGGTGAACTGATAAACGACTGTGGTGGAGAAGGCGGCTGCGCGGCGTCGGCGTTGGCAGAGGCGCAGCGGTCCCGGCAGCGTCAAAGGACGGCAGTACGCCTTCATCCTTGGTCTTCCGTGGATGTGGCAGACATTCCTTCTTTCTTCTCTTTTCCTCTTTTCTTCTGAGATCTGGTAGCTTTTCATTTGCAGATATGTAGCTATTTTTTCCCCGATCTGTTAGCTATTTTTTTCCCGATGTGGTAGCTTGATCTGAACCATAAGCTAACCTTCTCTTTCCAATTCTTTTTGCCAGCTGTAGACTTTTCAAGTGGTAACTTTTGACTTTTCTTTTCTTTTCTTGATTTTTGTACTCAGTATTAAAGTTTTAAATTATTATTCAGTATTTCTTTTATTCATTTTACAGATTTACCCTTTTAACACGTTGATCTTATGGGGAGTGTTGATTTAGATTTTCACTCTTGTTTCATTTTATATACATGTCATTGTTATGGTTACAGTTCAATACACATTTTCATTTGCTACTATTTTATAATGACATTGTTGATAGGTGATTGTTATAGTTCTCATGGTAACAATGTCAATAGAATAGACAATGTCTTTATTTTGAATGAAGGCAGTGCTCATAAATTGTGTAACACATTGTCACAATTTTGTTTTTACTTCTTTTTTGGTTTTATGCACCCAATGACATTAGGGAATGACATTAATTTTTAAATAATGATATCATTACATTATCATATAATGATATTGTATATTGCATTATCATATAGTCACATTGTATTTATATTGTGTATAATGACATTATCATTGCGCATTATTTATAATATTACTTCTCTATGAAGTTTATGTCATTTTGATGTCATTGATATTATCACACTAATGTCATTGAAATCGATAGTATCATTATATGACATTGTCATTGTCATGACATTGTTTTGTGCAACGTTTTAGTTAGTGATATTAAATCACATTGTTAATTTATTCAATGACTTGACAGTGTCAATTTTTTTTATATAAAATGGTAGTGATTACAATACATCTCAATGACGACAATGTCAATAACATTGTAATGTCCTTGACATTGTTTGTCATTATCATTAATATTTAATATTTTACAGTGTCATTTTCAAAATTTCATGATAATGTCATTGTGCATAGACATTTCCAATCACAATGTCAATAATAATGTCAATGCCATTGTTATGACAATTTTATAAGACAATGGTTACAATGAAATTTAGCATAGTGACATTTCTATATATACTATCTCTGTTGTTAAAAAAAATTGTCAAATTTAAATTAAATTTATAACAATTTCAAAATATTAATTATAATGAAATTGACATTATTACAATGTCATTATCTATAGTATTGACATTGTTATTATCTGATATTGTGACATTTTCTAACATGTGTCACTTTTTTTTACATTTTGACATTGTAATACTACCTCCATCTCATTTTATGTGTCTTAGTTTGACTTGGCACGACTATTAATGAAGTGGTTGAAAAAGTAAAAGTTGTGATTGAGATTTGAGTATAATAAAGTTAAAGATGTAGACCAAATATTTCTTTCTAAAAAAAGAAATGAGACATTTATTTTGAGACACCAAAAAAGAAAAGTAGGACAAGTAAAATGGGACGGAGGGAGTATGTTTTTACATGTTGGCAATGACATTTTTAGGATAGTCATTGACATCAACAACATTATGACTCTTTTAACTTATAAAATGTGATATTGTTTTTACAATTATCACATTGTTTAATTTCAGAATTGACTACAAACAACATTAAAAAGATAAATGACCAATTAAATGAATCATAGAAATAAATGTACTGGTACCAATTAAACAAAAGAACAAATGAATAAACTGAAAAGTCAAAGGAAATTACAT